CCAACGAATAGTGGGATTGACCGTCACATTATAGTGCCCACACGGCTGAAAGGGCGAGCAGGTTTGGTGAGACGTGGATTCGAACCCGCGAACCGCAGATTGCGAGTCAAGCGCCCTGACCACCTGGCCCTGGCGGGCACACCTTATCTGTAGAGAATATTTTTGTGTGGCAAAAAGATTTTAGCATATGAAAATAAAATGATCCCAAAAATCAAGGTAGTGCATCTAATCATTGTATTTACAAACGAATTTCATTTATATTATGATTCTATTAGAATGTTTGAACTCTTTACAACATTATGTCTGAAAGAAAGGAATCCACTTCTGAAAAATCTAAAAAGATTGCTAGGTCTTCATCATTTACAATAATGTCTGTCCCTTGGTAGGTCAGCTAAAATCCGAGGTTTGAATCCCCGTAGTGGACAGAATGTAGCTAGCTCATTGTTTAACTTTGCGTAAAAACAAGAATAACAACAACCGTAATTCAAATCCACAGTTCCGAATATTGGGACTAGTTTTTAACAGAAAAGCATTTTCATTTGGTACTTAAGACATATCAAAATATCTAAGTAATACAAGATAGCAGAGATTAAAAACTGGATCAAAAGATCAAAAACCTAGTTGAAACGTAATGAAGCGAAACAATATAGAACTGTGAATATTATATAAAAGGTGAATTTGGAATATTTAAGTGGTTTTCTTTTATATGGCTTTATTTCGTTCTTTTATTTGTTCACTGCAAGAAATAAATTTAAGTTCATCTGGGGCACCTGTGGGGTCATAGACGTCACTCTGAATGACAACTTTATTATTGTACTTGCCTTGACCTTTCTTTGGTTATTATTATGTTTTTATGATTATTTATATAAATAAACGTCAGTATGTGTTTATCTATATGTTTCCACATTTCTTGATCAATCAGCATCAAACTTGACACAGTAATACAGGATGACATGAGGAAGGTCATGAGGGGGTTGGACCCCCTCCATCTAATTTCATATTTAATTTCGGAAAACTACCAAATCAGCACAACTTTACACAGTGATACAGGATGATATAATGAAAGTAATGGAGGGGGGGGGGTTGGAACTCCATCTAATTTCATATTGATAAAAGTCTTGAAAACCGTATGTATCTCTTTTCAGTATTGGCAACTTTATGTATTTTTATTGCATTTTTAATGTTTATTATGTAAAGAAAAAAATAGAAGCACAATTTCCTATCCTTTGTTAGAAACGAGTTTGTATTTCACCCGTCTAACAGATGGGTACTCCAGCTAGTCATACTATAAAAGACATCTATCTATTCACCTTGTTTACGCCAGAGGTGTAAAAATGATTTATTATTAAATTCTGAAAAAAAAAAGAAGTTGTCAGTAAAAATAAATAAGTGAATGAACTAAGAAAAGCGCAATGACAAAGTGGTCATGTCATTAAGAGTGAAGTTTATGATCCAATGATATTCCAAGATTATATCAGATTCATTTAATGAATTTATAGAGCCTGTAATAAAAAATAACATAAAGCCATATAAATTAAACAATATTTGAATAATCAAAATTTACCACGTATATCATGTATTCATTACAATATGTTTTGACTCATTATGTCAGCATAGGCTTCTTGACATTTGACCCAGTATTGCAACCCTTTTTTTGCCCCCAGTGGCATAGCAGTATGTCTGCGGACTTACAACGCTAGAAACCGGGTTTCGATACCCGTGGTGGGCAGAGCACAGATAGCCCATTGTGTAGCTTTGTGTATAACTACAAATAAAACAAACAAGCGCCCCTTCAATTTTTATTGCTTAGATATTTTGACATGCTATGAATTGTATGAAGATATCTTTCTGTTAAAAACTAGTTCGAACACGTAAAACTGTGGATTTGGTATTACGTGTTTGTTTCTCAATAGTAGGTTCTACTTATATTTCAGAAATAATTTCGTAAAAAGTCAAAATACCGAAATAGAATCATAATTTACATGAATTTCTCTTAGAGTAGACAAACACGCAATTTTTTTTTTGCTATACAACAGCACCTTTTCTTGGAAAAAAAACCTAAACGTCTGCCATTTTGTGTCTGTTGGTTTCATTTACATGGACTAAAAAGTGGTAAACAAATTATCAGTTTTTCTATGTATTTCAACAATTTACTTCTCGAATACTAACTCATACTGACCTTTGGTTACTGGCATTGTACCTCTCTGCTTTTCGTTTTTATCATTTAGTTAAAATCAAATATTTCTCAGCATCTGACGAAAATAACCAAAATATTGCACTCGTTCAAAATTATTTAACTAGCATTATATAAAGAACAGCCTATTAAGAATAGAAGCTAACTGTAACAGCGTAATAATGTTAGCTAAATATTTTTGAAACACTATATGAGGTTTATAAATAGACAACAAACTATAAGAGCAAAATCCAATATACCAACCTGTACTTTTGACTAACTGAGGTAGGTAATGGTGCCAAAAAGCACAGTATTCTGCCCGTGGGCCGCGGCTGATCTTAGGAGACTTCACGCTCAGAGTCATATACTCTTTTCCTCCGTCAGTATGAGTGACCCAGTAGGTTCCATCCTCTTCCACTTCGGCATTTTCTGTGTTGGGATTTCTAAGAATACGATTTTATTATTTCTGTAAGCGTTTGTTTCATTTCTATTCATTTGTGCAGAATTATTATTATTACCTTTTCAAGCAGATTGATCTTTTAACGCCAGTGTGACATATTGTACTAATTCCTAATAAACCGTAAATAAGCTTACGCTTAATAATTCTGAATCTTGATCTCAATCATATAAAAGTTACATTGAAATTTTTAACAAAAGGTGTCGTTAATTTCAACTTCTATCACTAGTTACTTTCGTAAAACTATTGTAAGGCTTAAATTATAAGTGTCTTTCTCAATAAACTAAATTCCATATTTGCAAATAGATGCTGTTCACCCTTCAATTAATTAATCTTAATAGTTAGTGATTTAGTTTTTAGTTATAATATTCATTACAAAATTGCAACGACGTTTCCCTTTATCCACGAACAAGTCAGTTTACCAGACTAGGAGCTAATTTAGATCCAGTAGTTTTATCTATTTCATAACATACATAAAATGCGACTACTTTGTGGTAACATTAAGTAATTTTTAAAGACAAAAATCAGACATGTATACAATGATTTCAAGATCTCTATGTACACAGCGTGGTCACAAGTAAATAGACACCACCTTTTCAGAAAAAATGAAATTTTTCAGTTATATTTACACGAATTGGTATATTTATAATTTAATTAATATCTAGTAGATCTTCCTTTCACTTCATGGAGTTCGTTGATCCTTTGGGGGCATCGTGAGAATCATCTCGTCAATTTTAGATTGTGGGATTTTTGCCCACTCTTGCTTTAAAACTTGGAGTAGATCGCTCTTCAAAGTTGATTTTTTTGTTTCTTGACTTGCCGGTCGAGTATGGCCCAAAGGTTTTCGATGGGGTTCATGTCAGGAGATTGGCTCGGCCAGGGCAACTTCTGGATACCATTTTCTTCCTGCTCCATCTTCCTGGAACAACGTTGTGTTCACAAAACCCGAGGAATAAA